TTAAAACCATTCTTTTCCTGTGAGGTCCTCCGGAAAAGACATCAATTCAAGGGGAAAATTAGAAAATTTGAGTAAGTGGAAGATATTGCCGCTCCTCGGGCGGAAGGGCGTAACCCAATTTCCTCGTGAGCTGCGGTTCACATATAAGTTCATACTTTCTGGGGCTCATGTAGAAACCGAGGTACACCTTAACGTCAATGAAGCGACGCTATAAGCAACCCAAAAGTTGGTCAATACAACAGCGGTGAGACATTGTAAATGGAGGTCATGCCTCTAAAGGACTTATCAATTGTCACTAGCCCAATATCAAAAAACAGTAACGGCAACGGTCTAGCCAGAGATTTGGAATTTGATGAAGATGGAGTTTCCAATCGACATCCTCTCATCAGTCATTAGGGGATGAAAGTAATGTGTGAACAATGTAAATGGCAACACGGCAGGCTCCTCGCCGATACCCTTCGCAGTTCGCACCGCGGCAAGGCTCCATTCAGCCTGCCTCGCTTCCCGTTCCCGGAACTGCTCCTTGCACCGGGGTAACTAAAGTATAAGCTCAAGGAAAATTTTTTGTTTCTCATTTTCTGGGATTAACTTTTCTCAATGTATTCGAATTCTGCATAAAATTTCAATCAAAGTGATATAAAAAAAATCCAAAAAGTCAATTATTCACCCAGGAGAAAAATGTTTGGTATTCTGAATATTTATAAGGAGAGCAAATCAATGAATTATCAGAACTAAAATTGCCATTTTTTTTGTCCTGCCACCACAACGCCTAAATTGGATCCAAGTCTGGGAGACGATATGGCTTGAGGAAGTGAGTGTATTGTTGGGTTGGGAAAGGTACCAGCAAGGAGCTATTTTGGATTACCGGAGAGAGCAGTTAGTCCAAATGTTGAATGTTATCAAGGAAATGGGCCTAGTGCTGTTTAAACGGAACATTTCATTTAATGAGCCCGGCATTTTCGTAAAATTCGCAATGATGATCAGAAAGTCTATTATGTCTATGTATAGAAAAAATGAACCACCGTGAATAGAAATGGTTTACCAAAGGGTTTGTCATGTCGCAGTTTAACAATTTTTCTCAGTTTTAAATGCAACTTTGACAGCTGGTCGAGTGTATTTCGTGATTATACTACGGTTTTAGGGGTGCACGTGTACCAGGAAATTGTTGAGCTATTTAATGTTTTTACCTCAGTTTTCCGCGGTTATCAACATCCATAATGTAGGGAGGAACCCAGTAGATGTTCAACGCTCCCATGCGTGGGAAAAGCACGGTTATTAATTCCGCATAGCACTTACGGCTTTCTTGCCTAAAACTAGCCGAATATGAAAATAAATAATACCCTATTATTATGAATTTGAAATAAAATCGGTCAATTTTTAATCATCCAAACAATTTCTTGGAGTCTTTCGGACGATTAATGATATTTGAGAAAGAACGGAGGCCTCTTTCAGTACAGTTTTCTGGTCAGACGCCCAAGTAGCATTTTGCAACGAAAAAATTGCAATTTAAATGCAATAAAATTTCCAGATGATTTCAACTTTCTTGCAAGAAAATTGCAATTATTTTACAACATCTGACCCCCTCATTGTAAAAAAGTTGCAATTTTTTTTTTTGCAAAGAAATTTCAATATTGACGACCTTTAAATTTCAACCCCTAAATTTTCCGGGGAAATTATAATAATTCGAACCCATGCTTACCTAATGTCCTACGACGTTTAGCAGCATAAAATACCGGACGCCCTAGAGTGGGCTTGAACCCGACCTGCGAATTTCTAAGCGGAGCACTTTTCCACTGAGCTACAGGGAGCTGATGATTAGTTGGGTTGAAATCACGCCTCTTAAGGCTGTTATCGCATGCATTGCGTCAGTGCGTGGCTCAACATTCATCATAAATTTGAATAACGCCGTTTTTCTCAGGCTTCTTTCTTTTGCCTATTATTTATTTTTTTTCGTGTTATTTATTTTTTTCATATTTTTTTTGTCTGATTTTTTTTTTCGATATCACGTAATAGGTACTCACACTAAATTTACACCGGTGTAAATTACACCACATACTAACTTGAGAACTTAAAAATATTTTCAAAAAATATTTTTAAAATATTTTCAAAACTTTCTTAAGGAATATTTTTAACATGCATGTTTACAGGCAATATTTTTGAATTATTTTAAAAATATTTTTTGTAATCATTTTCAAAATATTCCTTTAAAATGTTTTAAAAATATTTTGAAAATATTTTAATTACAATATTGCCATGAAAATATTTTGATAAAGGTGACAATATTTTCAAAATATGTTGGGCTATAAGGGTTAGGTGAGACATTTAAGTCGAAAAAACTTTAAAACAACTAGAGAATTGGATGCCAGGCACATGGCGTGAATTTGTTACAACATGATTGCACCGAAATTGCAGTCTTTATAGTACCTTGAAAAAGAAGGTTAGGCAACAAGCATAATCTACATTTCTTGCAAACTTATTGCAATAAAATTGCAACTTTTTAAGCGCCTTCAAATGAACGTATAGGCAACAAGCAAAAATTGCAATCAACTCACAATCCATTGCAATGAAATTGCAATCCATGCTACTTGGGCGCTTCTGAGCCCGTTTTATCAAAATTTCATGTTTGCAGTCACTATCTCTTCGCCATTAGGTACAGTAGAATACCAGAGGGTCCGCCTTTCGCCTGCTCTGCGGTCAAACGTACGGAGATTAGTGTCTAATGTGAAGTATCGAGAAATCATGAAGAAACGTAATGCAACAAACAAATCGAAAGCACAGTGGTATGCGGTTATGCGAAGAAGATTGAACACTTGGACTATATTTTCCGATTTTTTTTTTCTTTTTTCTCTTTTGGAACTAACATTTCAGGCTCTCGTCATATCCAAGTGAAGTGGTATAAGTATAATTCCAATCCCTCTCCACATCAAAAAATTAATTAAAGTAACTCGATTTTCAGTTTTTTTTTTTTCAAATTAATTTCCTTTACTCTCTTTGGATTGGAAATATCCGAGAATATCCCGTGTCCTAACTTCCTGAGGGCTTTTCAGTGAATAAAGAAAACTCATCACAAATAAAATGACGGTACATAAACTAACTGAGATCCGTTTCCGAAATATACCCTCGTTATTTGAATATTGCGGGGAGCATATCATAATCGATGAATATACTTATGTACGAAGTTGGATTCAGACCAAACATGCAACTACTTTAACTCTGCGGAGTGCCGGGTTGCATACGCTTGATTTTGCGGGCGAAATCTAAGATCTGCCCAGGCTTTCGCGATAAAGTTGCGAATGGGGGAAGTTGCATTTATTCTTTACACCCTCCTCTTTTAACTAAATTAGGGAAAATTTAAATTTTTAGTTATTTTACTTGTAAAAAAATCAGCTTATCTGGTATGGTCATATTTAACGAATGGCGGATGAAAGACTGCCTGAGGAGGTACTGAAATGGTTTCCTCTTGGAAGGAAACGTATAGGAGACGCCCAGCAAAATCTTGGATTGGTGGCATTCAAAATGAAATTACGAGGATCTATTTACCAGATGACCTCTGTTCCGATAGACAAGGATGGCGATTAGGTGTGGCAAAGCGCCCGCCGGGAGCACTGTAAAAGCGACGGGTAAATAACATAAAAAAATACGTTATGATCATTGATCATTGATATTATGGTCGAATCAATTGAAAGCAATTTTTTGTAGATTGACTAACTAGGAATCAAAACATTTGTTTAAAATGAAACAATGTAATGTTGTCTAATAATATTTAAGCAATTTTTTTTTTTAAAATTGAATAAGCCTCAAGATATTCAATATCCGTTCCCTGCGGTAAACCCGTTTCACGATCGTGAATTTTTATGACACATAATAATTGTAAGGAGCCTGTTGTGTAAAATATATGAAAGAAATGAGCGAGCATAAACAGTTAAGGTTTGAGAGGGAATAGCGAAGTATAGAAAAAGTAGATGTTATTGCTCTCGTGCATCATTTCAGTCGGACGGACGAAAATTAAACACGAGAGGACGCGGCCAAACCAGAGCCACCATCCCGTGCCTGGACAAGGCTTTGAAATCGCGGAGGTTGAGCAAATTGTCGCCGACCGTTGAATCAACTCGAAATCACTGATTCTGAGCGAAATATCCGGCTGTGGATAGTTAACTCAAGATTTCACTTTCATCGGAGAAGAGACCGATCCGAGGTCCTGATTTTAACCGCATGCGTTTCACATCCCCTCGCGCCTCCGAAGGGGTTGACAGCGCGGTACGCGTTCCGATCCCCGGCCAGATTTCAATACCGAGGGAATTCCCGGTACAGTTGCCTCTTGATACCTGAGGCCGAGGCAACTCGGTTATGAGCTATTGCGGTCTCTGACATCAAGTTTCATTTATGGTGAAAATCGGCCCATCCCTTAATTCAGTAACGTCAAGGTCACTGGGGGATGATTTTTAGAACTTGTCTGATCTTAGTTGGTGATACCTCAAAACGCTTGTCTCGGCGTAGCCCTTAAAACAAGCCATATTCTTCCACCCTCTAAAAGCACCCTTAATCCTGAAAATTTCGAGTCCAAGGAGAGATGATTTTTCGACCTGTCAGGCTCATTAGGCACAACTGTTTTCATAGGAACGATTAGTCGAAATCTACCTTTTTGTTGCCAAAAAGGTTGAAAGCTTGAAAGCGTTGCTTGAAAGCTTGAAAGCATTGCTTGAAAGCGTTTTTTTATCCTTTGATCTTCTAATTTCGTTCAGATTTGTTCCAGTAAATAAATCGTCATCAGTTGAAAATTGGTTTATTTTGCCAACTCTGGCATCATAATCTCCTGAGACAGTGATGTTAGCATTTTTAAATTTTTCTGTTACTTCTCTCAGTGCTATCTCAAATACTCCTTGTGTAGCAACGGAAGGGTTAGTATGAGCCTGTAACAACTACTAATGAATCTGTTATAAAATATCCTCCTTGACGAATTAATATAATCCTTCTTCAAACGTTTTTTTTTTTCCTATCAGGTGTAATTTATGGGGAGAATGATGTTTACAAGGTTCGAGATCTGCGCTCTGAGGATGTTGTGACCAGTTTTAAGATAAGTTGCCAGTTTTTGAATCAGAGGCTGCCTATGTTTCTTGGTGACACTGAATCCCTTGTGATCAAAGAAGACACAAAATGTAGTCTTTTCATCAAAGCTGTTAATGGTATTACGATTGGGAAGCTGGACATCCAAATAAATGTTGGAAGCAGCATTGAATCTCTACCCCCGCCTGAAACTTGTAAGTCCTCTCATTTCAGGTTGCGTATCTGTGGTAGTTTCTTTAGTCGTAGAGTTTTCCTAACAAGGACTTGTGATATTAATTGCTCATTTAAGTGATGGCAAGGCAATAATAAGAACCTTCAAAAATTGTACGCTTGGTTTTAAAAATTGACATGAAGCTACTTAGCTGTGAAGAGTTGTGGCTAGGTAGTTAGGGAGCGAACCTTACAACAGGCTTAAATTTTTCAGGCTGCCCCTTTTGACAGACATCATTTGTGCAGAACTGCCATTCACCTGCTGGCGTTATTTGCGAGACGACCATTTGCAATCAACGAGTTTTTAAAGTTCTACCTTGGTAATCTAGCCAACATTGCTACTGTGTTGGTATATTTTTTACAGCCTCAGCAGAGCTGTCCACACTGATAATTCTTACATTACATCAATGTGTTGTTTACTTATTTTTCTATTTTTTTACAATAAAATTTCAGTAAATATACAATGAATTAGTGGCATGAATCTCTAGCTCATCTGCAATTTTCACCCTTAACAATTTTTAGTGAAGTTCTCAGCTTCTTATCAATTGAATGATTCACTAGTATCTTGTTACTGCACTTGATATTTTTCATCGAAATAAACTCAAAAGACGGAAAACAAAAACAAAAAAATTTAGACTAATTTTAATGGAATTAAAAACTGATATGGACCTCCATAAATATCTTCTATCAATACTGTCGCAACATACAATTCTCTGATGTGAATAATTTTTGAAGATTAGAATATCTCAGTCAAAAACGAAAGTATTTTCGTTTACTCAGAGGTAAATTTTCCTTACATTTAGAAAAATCAAAGTTACTTCTTACGTCCGAATGAAGCTCAGACAGTATCGGACGTTCCCTAAATAATATGACTCTGAGAATTGTGTCTGTCTTGATATTAGACGTGGAGGACGGTTACTTTCCTCAGCAGTATAGATCTGTAACGGTTTTTTTATTTTTTTTGTGGAATGTGTAATAAATATATTTAGTGCATGACAACAGTTCTTAATGAGAGTGTAAGTTTCACAGTGTATCCCTCTATTAAAAGAGATTTCCATCAATTTCGACCTGCAGTTGACGTTTTTCGTCCTAGATAATCCAGTGGTTTTGACCTAGCGACTCATCATAACTTTTCCTTGAATGGTATGCTGGATTACGTCCTTTTTCTCGACATCGAATTGATGTATTCGTATCAACACTGAAAATAACATGAAGGTAACTTGATGCTTTTCTCATTTAGTTTCAGAAGTGTGCAGGGAAGAAATTGATGAGCTGATTCCTAGCTCAAATTTTGAGTCTTTCAGAGCCAAATCAAATGCTTCAAAATACTTAATTCTGAAAGCTCAGTTGAGAAATGCTAGTGATGAAAAATTGAAAAATGTTCCTTCGGCCCAGTATAATTCTTATGTACACAACTTTAACTCTCCCTGCATAACTCCCCTGGAAACTTGTAATGTCGCAAGTCTCCAACATCCTCCATCTCAGCCAACTAGTTACATGTTATCAGATTTACACAGCAGTAGTGGTGATTTCACTGATGAGCACTCAACAACCCCGCAACTTGATGCTCTGAACTCCAAGACTAATGCTAGATCACATGTTGGTGCGCAAGAATATTTCAATCAAAATTCTAGCAGGACAAATGACTCCGCTGATTTTCACAATGCTGCTCCTAAGAAATATGCGATTGTCACTCATGAGTTTAATGTCATCATCAGAAATTTTGATCATCACCAAGATTATGTGGTCAGTTACGTTTTTCCTGAAAGCACCTCTCATGAAAATGGGAAAGGTAAGTTAATCCCATTTTTGATAGTATTCCCCCATCTCTCTTTTAAATTAAGGTTGAAGTGCCAGCTGACAACATTTTTAATGTTAGCTGATGAATGTATAATTTTGCTTATGAAGAAGGTTAAAAAAATTCATATTGAGACAACTGCTTATAACTGCTGGTTGATATTATTTAATGGTATAATTTGAATAATTTATTATCCTAAAACTGTGAAGTAAAGAAAACATGGTAACCCGGGCGTGATTTAAATTGGCGCAAGATTCAAGACAACTGTAAAAGAATGAAGATTTTCCAATGAGTGGAACTATGAAGTGGACTTGTGTTATTCATGACGGAGACATTCAGTGATCGTTTGAGCTTCTTTCAAAGACAAATACGCAGTGATCAATCTCTTCTTATTTCAAGCATAGATTTGCGCAAGACATTTATTATTGCCATTCGAACTCTGCGTCAATGTCAAGCATGTGCAGTGATCCCTCAATATCATACTTTAAGAAATACATTCATGCAGTAACCCATTGAGTTCCACAACTATTAAGATTACAATCGTACAATGGTCTTTGATCTCCGTGGCAACGTCTCGATAAAGGTGTGTAACATTTTATGGACGGAAGGCCCACCGTAAGCGTCCACATTTTTTAGTAGTAGACTCTTATTTCTTACAATGCTTTTATCTGAATAAACATTCTCTCGGTATGTTAATCAAGAAAACGGTATCACATAATTTACGGCCTCAGGGGCCATATTTAAATTGAGTCGCCAATTTGCGAAGACGTTTTGACCCCTCCCTCCCCCTTTGTCACCTACAATACATGTCACTCACCTTTAGACCCCCCTTCCCCTAAAAATTATGTCATATTAAGCATACCCTCCCTCTTTTGCATAGATGTGGGGATGTTAGAAGCCTTTGCCACGGATGTATCACACATTGATTCATAGGCTTAAATGGCTCGAAAATAACGTTAAGCCCCTAGTAAAATTCTAAATTCACTCCTCTTCTCAGTATGCATGTTTTTAGTTTCACTGTTTTGCAAATGAGGTATACTACACTAGTTAGCTTCTTTCTTCAGACACGCTGCACTTTTGAACTACAAGATTACACCTCGTCTGCGGGCTGTTTGTTGAAATTGATAGACAAAGGAGACATAGGGAGTATGGAGGGACCAATTGGTTGAAATGGGTGGTTCCAATAGACTAAGGGAAAATGATGGTCTAACTTTAAATTCTCTTGTGGGTTGCAGTTAGTCAGTCTATTACCTACTTCCTTTGCCATTGCAACCACCTGCCCCTACCAATAGGATCCCTCCATATCCCTTTTGTCTTCTTTGTCTATAGCTTTGTCTATCGATTCCAACAATCACCCCGCAGGATATGGTGATGTCACTTTTGCTTCAGCTTCCCTCCCCCTTTGTCACCTAAATGTCACTCACCTCCAGACCCCTGCACTCCCCTGGGTGGCCGATGTTTTTAATGGATAGCCCCGAAGCCCAGCCTCTATTATGGATAAAATCATGCAGGAACATTTTTTCAGATTTTTAGCCTTCTGATTGCGTATTTTAGTTGAAATTGTTAAACCCCAATTTTTAATTCAATTTTTTCATAGTTTTTTCCAGTTGGTCTGAAGTCTCTATTTCAACGAACCTTAGTCGTCCTTTCTTCATATCACTACCCTATGGAGTATCACTGAAAAATTTCCTTAAAAAAACTGGGAAAAAGTCGATCATATTTTATTTCAAACAACCATCACAAAACAAGACATCTGCCAAGGTAATCATGCATCAATTCTTGCCAACATCTTTAGTAAACCAGGGCAAATTTATTTAGAAATAGATTGAGAGAGTATGCCAGAAAATACAGTATTGAAGGTTTTAATTAAGCCAAATACATTCTCATCCGAAGGATTATCCTCATTAGCGTGGAAGATATTTAGTAGTTAAGCAATTGCTACGAAATATAAGCAAAGAAAGAGTAAGACATGCTGAGATGCTCAGATGGTGCGTCGTTGCCTAAGTTACGCATGTTGCTTCAAATCATGTGTCTAATGGAGGTAATTGTGTGTTTGCTTCGCTCAAGTTTCTATAAAACCAACCTTCCATGGGTGACAGAAATTGCCTACTTAGATTGGGTGGAGCAATCTAATCTGACAATTTGTCTCTGAGAATTGACAACTACCTCTTGATTCTATCAATTGCTCAACCGTGTGGCATGCCACTTCTGATGAACATGTGAATTCAGCTGGCATTAGTGGCATTGTTACTAAAATTCCATAACAATTTATAAACCAGGTCGCTAGTAGCTCTTGTTTGCATCTTTACATCAAGTTTGTAGCAGTCGCTATTCCAAACTGTTGCCCAACTAATTTATTTTAGGGATTGTTATTTCAGACTATCTTCGGAGATGGTCTCCTCTTCTTCCTCTTCCTGTCTTTGGGGCGGCCCTGTACTAAAATGAAGGAGAACAGCTCCAACTAAATCTCTGTTAAATATCTTATTTTTTGTTACATTCATTTTAAGTATTCATTGTTCCCCTCAGGCTGTGTTGGATCTTGCTGAGTTGTATCTGATTGAGAAACTGCACAGGTCATCAGCCTGTTCATCTTTCTGTGCCAAAACACTCAAGGTTCCTCTTTTCAAAGGAAATAATGAAAACCCATGTGGGGTTGTGGAAATTTGTATTGAATACCGTAATTGGATCAGAAAATTTGACAATTTCAAGAGTGAATCCTTACCCTCTGGTCAAATAGTTCACAAAAGTCTGAGTGCAAGATCCAGAAACAATTTGAAACCAAATTTGCGCCAAAAAAATGCAACTTCATCAAGAATCTCTGTTGATGACGGTGCTCAACATCTTGAGCAAGAGCAATCAAATAAAGATTCTACTAATTCCAGACTGCTAAACGTAACTTTCTGTGTGAATGAAAATAAAAATGTCTTGCAGGAGTCTCATCAACATACATTCAGTGATGAGTCGAAAGTAGGATCATTGGATAGTATTCAGATAACAGAGGATGGTGGAGACTCTCCATTAACTATTCATTATGAAAGAGGGAATCCTTCAACTGTCTCAAAATCTGATAGATTTAGCCACCCTATATTTACTTTACCTGATTGTAAAACAAAAACTCAAGAGGTGAGTGGCTTAAATGAAAAGGCTGAGACAGATGCAGTACAGTATTTAAGCCAGCTAAAAATAAATGATGCCAGTCCTTGTTCTGGTGAAAGGCAACAGACTAAAAAGAGTGATGAAGCAAATCTAAGCGCCCTCTCAATTTTTAAAACGTCTCGTTTGATTTCACCAAATGCTGTCTCCTCATATTTCCAAACCTCTGCATCAAGTGGTATGTTTGCTGCTCCCTATTCTCATTTGGTTTTGGGTGGCGAATCAATCAACAATGCTTATAAAAATGGTTACGAAAACATAGTTGCAGATCAAACTCAACCATTACTCGCTGGTAGCTTACCTACTACAAGTCCCAATCAGATCAATGGGAGCAAAAGGATGGCAGAAGAATCATTCATTGGGCCTAACAGCACTCCAACCTTCAGTGATGAACAGATTTTCAATTTCGATACCGACAGAACTAATGTGGCTAAATCACATCTGCATGAATCGAGCAGAAAAAATGTAACCTCAGCAAGCTTTGACCCAAGGATCAAAGTTGAAGAAACGCTGTTTGATAAATATGACAGCTTCCCAAAATGTTCCGTTTTCAAAATGGATCTCGTTTTACCTGACTGTGAAAATGATGCAGTTCCTAAAACCTGTCTCTCTCCTGAAATCAGGACTGTTTCATCAGATGTGAGCAGTAAACATGAAGAGAATTCAAGTAGCACTTGTTTGGCTGAAAACGCAAGAAACTTCTCTGAATTTACCACTGTTTCTTTTGAAAGAAGAAGAAATTCTGATTCTGGTTTCTTTGGCACATCAGTGATAGATGCTGAAGAATTTTGCCCAAGAAAGTCAATCAAGAATCAGTTCTCAAGTGAGCCAAATATTTGCAAGCCATTGAAAAGTCGCCCACCTCTTGATGACTTCGGCATATCTTTGAGGAACACATCGCAAGATAAATGCTTTTTGGCTCGAATTGGTATCGTCCGATCTTTCAATATTCCCATGATAAAACTAAAGGGCACCAAAAATTTGACACAACCTACCACATACGTAACTTTCCATGATTGCTTCAAACGGTTACACACCTCTTGCACAGTCGTTGAAACACTTATACCTGAGTATAACTCTCGACACAAAGCCTGGCTGTCAGCTGAACTGCTGAAGGATGTGAGTATAACTCTTTCATCAGTCAATTACTGTTTTTACGAGCTTTTATAATTTTCAGTAAAATATTGCTAATTCTATTCTTAGAGCTCATGGCACTTGCATAGGAATAAGGAGCCTGTTCAAAAAGTGCCCCTTTTTGGGGGAACTCAGTGGCCTGAAAGAAACCGTATGTCAGGGCAATCCGCCACTGAAAGTTTTTGCGTGTATTCAAAACTTGTTTTGGCACAACAGCGTTGCAAAGTTTACCCTTTTTATCATAAAACAATGCTAATATTTTGAAGTTCCTCTTTTGAAAAAGCAACTTAGGTTACTCCTGTTTTATTATCTGAAGCAATGTCTCATGAGTTGATGTAAATGTGCCTCAGAAAATGAAAAGGGCTGCACTTGAGTAGTTTATTTAACTGAGGAACTAATTCAAGCAGAGAACTTATCCTGAGTTGACAGTCATCAAATTCACACGCAATTTTGAAGGTTGTGTAAGCACTTACAATCTTTTACCCGAAATATTGCAAGACACTCTGAAAGTGGGATATTTTTTGAGAGAGACTGCAAACCGGTGTAGGTCTTTGGGCCTGAACTCTTTTGAAGTTTTATGAAACTCTCCAAGTAGTGAAATCAAATTTAAGAAACTACAAGTATTTGGCGCTCTGTATCCTATATCTTTCTGCCAAATTCTTATTTAATAATAAAACATTACATTTTTCCAGAATTTTTGCATACTTTTCAAGCAATTTTGTTTTTAATAGGCAGATTCAGGCTAACAGATGCAAAATTAATTCAGCGGTTTTCCTCAATTTTTCATCAGCTGTGAGTGACATTAGGTCCAATTCTCCAGACCCCCCCACCTCCCCAAAATTAAAATTCAAGATCGACAAAGTTTTGTACTAGTTTTGTACCCAAATGTACCGCACAGAAAAAGTTTTATACCCATCATGTAAAGTACGCACAATTCAAACGCAGGAGGGTGGGGGGCTGGAGAAATTAAGCCCCTCCACCTCCAAAATTCTACTTCTTTTTATCGCCAAAGTTTTGTACTAGTTTTGTACCGAAATGTACCGTTCGAAAAAAGTTTTGTACCCTTACGATAGGGGAGCTACGAAGGGGTCAAAAGTGGGGGGGCTGGAGAAATATTACCGAATTTTACCGTCGGTCCTATTACACTATTATACTATTATTATTCTAAAAGCCGACCGTCCTAAACCTTCTGGCCCACCCTGTATACGAATCGGGAGGAATGTTGGCACCTAGAATAAAATTTCTCCTTCGAAAAAATGAAATTTGCTTTTGTTAAGGAGATTTTCTCAACTTCATGTAATGAATAGGTGAAATCCCGGAAGAAAATCCATTTCATGCGCGGCCGGAACTCTAATCTTCCGCAGTCGCAGATCGCCGCTATCGAAGATCCGGAATTTTTGCGCGGGATATTCAAACCGGGGCCGGATCAGCGCGCTCGGGGGCCGGAATTTTCGTTCTGGCAAAGGAACGGATCGACGGACTTCAAAAATCTATTCAAATACCGAAAGAACAACTGACGCAACGCAATGCACAATTGTTTCCAACAACTTTAAAGATTACTTCTCTCTATAAGCCGCTTTACCTTTTCAAGACTCTGTTTTTTGGCTGTGGCAAGAGAACGGTTCAACGGATTTGAAAAATCTCTTCGGATATTGAATGAACTATTAATCCATAAAATATCAGCTGCAAAGCACTCTTGTTTTCATACAGCTCTCCGGAAAAGCAAAGAAAACAGTTTTTGGACGTGAAGTTCGCTTATCAGAACTGGTTTATTGACTGTAATAGGAAAACAATTTTTAATTTAAAAATTTCCATTTTTATTTTCATAATGAAGTAACATTATCGATTCTGATGAGGCGTTTTATTTTTTTCGGTCAAGAATTTTTCTCTTAGATTTTGTTTCCTTTCAACTTGCACATTCAAAAATGAATCATCTAAAATATAAATTTTGCACATTTTGGTCAAGAAGTGCCAATGTTTCATACGTGTCCGAAGTTCCACGATTTTCACGTGTTCTCTCGCTGTGTTGAAAGTGTTTTCCCGGAATTTTGCAAGCATCACTCGTCTCTTCTTCGGATCGGGCGGGTTGAAAAGCAGGAAAAATCATGAAAAGTGCAGGTAATACAGGAAAGGGCCGTATGAACGAGAAAATTTTCGCCTCTTCTAGTGTTCCCACTTTTTCCTTATACGTGAAATTGAAAAATTAGGTCTACAGGAGAGGTTTGGGCCACATAAGCTTAGATTAGGTTATTTTAGGGCAGGACATGTACGGTTGGACAAGGCAAGTAAGGTTAAAGTTAGGTACGGTAAGGTCGAGGGGAGTTATGTTCTGTGAAAGGTCTTTTTCAAGCTTACAATGTAAAGTTGCGTAAAGTTGGCCTACCAGAACTGCTTTCTTGACTATAATCGGAGAACAGTTAAAGAATACGTAGCATAGTGTCAACAAACAGCTTTTCAAAGTTCTTTTTGACACCATGATCATCCAAATTTTATAAATTCTGACTCCTATGAAAGATGATCACGGTGTCAATTATCTCGATGTCAACGAAGCTTTAAAGTTCCCTCTATCCTGCCCAACGAACCTAACCCACTTTCACAGAACATAACTCCCCTCGACCTTACCGTACCTAACTTTAACCTTACTTGCCTTGTCCAACCGTACATGTCCTGCCCTAAAATAACCTAATCTAAGCTTATGTGGCCCAAACCTCTCCTGTAGACCTAATTTTTCAATTTCACGTATAAGGAAAAAGTGGGAACACTAGAAGAGGCGAAAATTTTCTCGTTCATACGGCCCTTTCCTGTATTACCTGCACTTTTCATGATTTTTCCTGCTTTTCAACCCGCCCGATCCGAAGAAGAGACGAGTGATGCTTGCAAAATTCCGGGAAAACACTTTCAACACAGCGAGAGAACACGTGAAAATCGTGGAACTTCGGACACGTATGAAACATTGGCACTTCTTGACCAAAATGTGCAAAATTTATATTTTAGATGATTCATTTTTGAATGTGCAAGTTGAAAGGAAACAAAATCTAAGAGAAAAATTCTTGACCGAAAAAAATAAAACGCCTCATCAGAATCGATAATGTTACTTCATTATGAAAATAAAAATGGAAATTTTTAAATTAAAAATTGTTTTCCTATTACAGTCAATAAACCAGTTCTGATAAGCGAACTTCACGTCCAAAAACTGTTTTCTTTGCTTTTCCGGAGAGCTGTTGATGAAAGCAAGAGTGCTTTGCAGCTGATATTTTATGGATTAATGGTTCATTCAATATCCGAAGAGATTTTTCAAATCCGTTGAACCGTTCTCTTGCCACAGCCAAAAAACAGAGTCTTGAAATGGTAAAGCGGCTTATAGAAAGTACTAATCTTTAAAATTGTTGGAAACAATTGTGCATTGCGTTGCGTCAGTTGTTCTTTCGATACTTGAATGGATTTTTGAAGTCCGTCGATCCGTTCCACAGTGTGTCAAACCCCCAACCTAGCTGCTCAAAACCCCCCTTATATCAAGTCAACAAATGATGTTATTTATGATCAGAGTGGTTTCACAGGCACCCGTTGGTTACGTACGTATAATGGTTATCACAAAAATAAATATTGTGGTCGCTAAAATGAAAGGGATTGCAGCCGGTAAACGTCCTGCCTCAATCTCGCCATCAGGAGTGGTGCCACTGTATTGCTTTTTTTAGAGTACTTCGTGGCGAAAAAGTGTCATTTCTGGATGGAACGAGATGTCAAAGGCCAGAGAAAGGAAATATGACCGTTGATTTCTCCAAAATCATTATTCAAGTATTATAATTGCTCATTGAAAACAGTACCCGAGACCGTTCACTTTTCCTGGCTTTAGTAGAGCCGCAAAAGCGCGGAATTACACGGAACACCATGAAACTTATATGAGAGTGTTCAGAAAACTATGTAGATGTGATATATCTTTAGTTTTACTGCAACCTTCCGCAACCTTGAGAATAAGAGCACATTTCGTTCGGCGATTCCTTGTGTAAAAGCGTGCGGGCGGCGTTATGTGCTCTCCCCCTACAGGCTGTCACAGGTGAATTGAGACGGAGGCAGCATCTCATCGTTCGGTCCCCTGATTCGAGTGAACCTTATAATGAGGCTTTTCTCCGGCTTAGATAAGACGGAATTGTGGCTCAGTTGATAGCTACCTCCATTATTACCTGCGAGACCGGGGTTCAAATCCCGAACCGTCCAATTTTTTAAAATATTATTTTCTTTCATTACGATTTTGCCCAAATTTTCCTTTACAGGCAAACATTTTGAAAATATTACCTTTGACTGATCATTTAGAGTTGCCGCAACGTATCATTTTAATAATATGGAATTCATATTTCTTTGGACGGCCAAATGAGAAATTCGCCATTTTGAAGTGGAATGCATAAGCCCGAGACATCCTCCAGGACTTATTTTGGATCTAAAAACACAATTTAACTGATTTTTGGGGCGCACATATGGCGCCTAGAAATTAGTTGAAATTATAGGATTTTTACATGAGTTAAACAGGATTTTTAGATGGCTGCCATTTTGAAACTTTTGATGACTAAGTTTTGAAATTTTAGGTGAACCCTCTTCAAGCTTACACTAATGTCTGTGCAAAATTTGGTGGTTATCCGACCAAATTTAGAGACGTTAAGAGGTTTTGAGCAGCTAGATTGGGGTTTTGACACACTGTGCGTTCCTTGAACGAAGAACGAAAATTCCGGCCCCCGAGCGCGCTGATCCGGCCCCGGTTTGAATATCCCGCGCAATAATTCCGGATCTTCGGTAGCGGCGATCTGCGACTGCGGAAGATTAGAGTTCCGGCCTCGCATGAAATGGATTTTCTTCCGGGATTTCACCCATTCATTACATGAAGTTGAGAAAATCTCCTTAATAAAAGCAAATTTCATTTTTTCGAAGGAGAAATTTTATTCTAGGTGCCAACATTCCTCCCAATTCGTATACAAAATCTTGGAAGCGCTATT